ATGCTCATCAGCAACCTGAACTGTTGTCACTAGACTTGGATGAATCAAAGTCCTCCAAGTTTCTAGATAATGGGTATACCTGGGACAGAGTTGCTGAACTTTAATTAAGGAAGACAGAAGGGACATGCTGAGTGCTTGAGAAAAAGCTGTGGTGTTAGCATTCAGAAGTATATGTCAGGTGATGAGCTGTAGAATGTCTGCACCTCAGTGTCCCTTGCACTCTGGAGAGTTCAAAGGCAAGTGGGAGAGGGGATGAGCCATGGGTCTCTGCCAGGTGCTTGACTCCTCTACCAAATGTGCAGTTCTTAATGAGGTGGTAGCAAGTTAAGGAATATAACTTGGTGAAAATGATTGAGTTACACGCTGCTCAAACGCAGCATTCAGGGTGGTGTAACAGTTCCTAAGTGGCTCCCAAGCCCCAAGCACAGACTCACTCAGAAGGCCTGCCCAGACCAGGCTCAGGACTCAAATAAAATCTTAATAAAATTAATCGCTATAGTATTTTGAGCTTCTGCTAATGTAATGCATTTTATTTGGTACTTTATATACATTGTCATTGCTCCTTACATACCCCTAAGAGGTAGGCACTCATTTTACAGTTCAAGAAACTGAGGTATAAATGTGTAACAATTTGCTGAATTTCCCCCAGTTGTGCAGAACTTACTTCAGTGCAGAACTGACCAACCTTCTGGGGGCAATAGGGGTTAGAGGGTAGGCCTTTTATTCTCACCTACCCTCCCCACTACCCCCAACATAGAGAAGGGCAGCATGGGGCATACTTCCAGGAAGACTGCATAGAACAGATCAGGAGGAACCACAGCTGGTATAAACTATGCCTCTGGATCTGCTACATAAATTCACCCACTTGTCTTTCTTCCCTGAACTCAGCCTTCTCTAAGTTGACTGAGCTGACCCAGTAGGGAATGTGCATGGTTCAGACTGCAGCTGTTTCCTCCTCCCAGAGAAGAATTTCTGAAGCTGACTTATGGCTAGGCTCCTGCCTATGTTTTGGTGGAGGGGAGTAGGAAGAAGCTCAGTATTTGGCCAGCCTTCCTCTAGATTTAGATGGCTTGAGAAGTGGCCCTGGTAGCTGGGATGGCCTCAGCATTTTCTCCTACATCCCACTCCTAACTTATAGCAGCAATTATAGCAAGCAGCCACTGCCAGGGACCAAAGAGTAATTTGGGAGAGTTCCCTTACCCACTAGTCTACCTGAGACAGCCACACTGGTTAAGAAACCCAAGGAGTGAGGGTCCCTGTATTTGACAGTATCACTTTTCTTGGTAGGAACAATGAAAGTAGCCACCTCCAGCCTAGGGTATCTCCAGAGTCTATCCTATGCTATCTCTTTTGCTTCCTGCCCATTTCACTCTCCTGGTGACTCTTGTAGTCCTAAGTAAGGTGGCATACGCCATTAAGAAAACAGCTTTGGGACCTAGTGGAGTAGCAAGGAGTATGAGGACTGGGTTGGAGGTAGCTAAGTAGGGCAAGACTAGAAGGCTGCTGGCTATGGGTGGTCCTTGCCAACCTCCTTCCCAGTGTCTTAAGGGACACAGCCAGAGATACTACGAGTGGCTGTTGGGGGTTGGAGTGGGGATTTAGATTTAGGAAAGACAAGACAGAGAGGTGAAAGACAGTATATGCTGACCCTTGCCATCAAAGACGACCCTGGGCCTGGTTAGGAGGAAGGTATAAACTGAGGGGAGAGAATTTTCCATACCAGGGAACAACCTTGCCCAGTTCATCAACCCTCACCACACACAGAAGGCTTTTAAAATTGCTCTTAGCAGAAGACTTTGTATGGATACTCATGCACTGCTTTAAAATCCCCTCACAACTAGTTCTCCTTTAGCATGGGCCAAAGCAGTTAGTCCCTCAGCTCCCCACATTGAATGACCTTCCCATATGAGCAAGCTTTTTAATTTTTTTATGTTTCAATTTACATTTAATCATTATATACCTTTACAGTGTACAACATTGTTTTTTCCTATATGAATATGGCACATATCAGTCAAGACAAAGACATTACCCTGTACATTATCATCAGCAAATAACTTCATTTTTGTGTCAATAAAGCATATTTTTGCCCCGTTTCCCTCCTCCCTCCCTCTATTCTTTGAACATGGTCTGCTGCTTCTTAAGAAATTAATCTGACCTAGAAGGGAGTAATAATAACAGTAATGCCAATGTTGTGCATTTGCACCACACATTTTCATTTACAAAATCCTTTTTGATGCCCATTATCATATCTAATTCTCACATCATTGCAGTTGGTTTGAGAAGGTGAGGGAATAAGTAGAAGCTATTTTGATCTCAAAACAGCTTACCAAGTACTCAAGGCTCAGTGGACTACTGTGACCTGCTCAGGGGCTCTGTGGCAGACATGAAGCTGGCAAGGCCTAGACCCCAGCCCTGTGGCCCACAACTCCTTCCACAACACAGTGAGCTGCCTGTAGCAGGAAAGGGTGAGTAACATGGCCTTTATTCCCAGGGAGCACAGGAGCACAAGAGTAGGAGAAGGCCCAATTGGACTTCCCTTCTTCTGGAGCATCCTGGTTCTAGAAAGCAACGCTCTTTGTGGTTTATTTTACCTAATCCTTCTGTTCTCAGGAACGCTTGCCCGAAACCCAGCATGACAAGTCAGCCTAAATCACCACCATTTCCACTTCCTTCTGCCCGACAAGGTTCAGACTGAATGCCTCTTCCACCAGGCAGCTTTTCTGAACCCAGGAAGTACCTTTTTCTGCCTTTCAATTTATCTAGTGTGTATGTTAACAAGGTACCTTACTACCCAGCTTAAGAAATAACTATTCTTTCAGGCCTGCATTGTGCTGGGCCTTCAAACTTTTTCATATAGGTCTCCCTGTTTTTTCATCTAGGAGCTCCCCCAAAGCAAAGACTGGGTGTTTCCCTTTCTTGGCCTGTCTTAAAGTGCTGAGCTCACTTAATATTTAGGACGGGTTTATTTTATGCGTGCCACAGAAGGAATACAATTTTACAAACAACTCCACTACTGCCACTCCAACTCTCCCATCCATAATACTATAATAACAACCCTGGTAGTAATTTCAAGACTGAGGTGAAAAGCATCTATGCTATGAAAAGTGAGGGATTCAAATAGGTAATAAGGCTTTTATCTCCATCAGACCCCAGGGCAGAGAACTCTGAGTGATAGGGTATATGACTCTGTGTGTGTGTGTGCGTGTGTTTAGGGGAGGGAGAGCTATCTTTGTCAGATGCTCAGCTAAGTTGGAACAGTATCATGTCAAAATATGTCACACAGAAAAAACCCCAACCTGAGCAAATGGAAGTGCGGATCTCTGAAGAGAGGGAATCAGCTGAGGTTTCTTTTTTTCCCCGCTTTTCTGGAAAATTAGCCATTATTTTGCTCCAATTTTAATACTCAATTCTATAGAGTGCTCCTAATGAAAGTTTGGATCACACTGATGATTCAAGTGTCAAGCCAAGCAAGGAAACAAGTAACAAAGTTAATGCTTTTAAGACACTAATAGGGGCTCCAAAAAGGATTCCTCTAATGATCAGAGGCTAGAGTATAGCTTCCAGCCTCTCTCCACCCTTAGTGCTAATCCATGTTCTTCCACTGTAGGTGAATGTGTGAGTCTTACTACCATAACAACTAATCATAGGACTAGTGTGCTAGCCAACTGCTCCCAGGTCCACAGTGGTACTTGCTCTTGTGCCTTTCTCTCTATTTTCTCTGACTCCCAGAAGCTATTTTATCTCCCTTCCTCACCATAGATTCCCCCCTCTCTAATGGTGGCTACCCTACAGAGAGGGGAGTTCTAGTGAGGGACTTTCCAGGGAGGAGTCATTGGGTTTTAGCAGGCTGGTCACTGATTCAGCTACCAACCATTTACAGTCATTGGAATACACCAGACTTGATAGGGATTGCTGGGGTAGGTGGTGATTAGCCTTTATTTCATCTATGTTGGCATTTGGTTATTTGGAGGGTTAGGAGCCTAGGCCAGAAGGGTGTGGCTTATACCAGGGTTATCTATTTAAGTGGCCATTAAGAACCTATCTCAGGCCAGAAATATGAATCATGTAGGGTCAGACCTTTAAGAAGTTCCCTTAGATATGGGAGCCAAATAGGGACCAAAATAATAAGAGGAGATGGAGTAGAGGAGAAAAAATCCATTTCATGATTCTAAAGTGGAATTTGTAGGTTCTACTTGCCAAGGGGCACATTAAAATCTCTTCCCAGGAGGACAGTCAGTAGAGTCCCACCACCCACAGAGGCTCTGTAAAGGCGAGGCACTGTTTTCCTCTTGGGTAGAGGACACTGAAGTCCAGAGAGTACCTTTCCTGAGGCCACCATGTCATTTTAGCAGGTCTTAGATTGCATCCCTGGTTGGCAGTTTTGTCAGGTTCCTACCATGTCTCAAGGTCTCAGCATGGTCCTGCAAGCATTTTAGGGAACCTGAAGGCAGGAGATGAAATTTAAAGTTTAATTTTCTTTCTGGCCACTGGCAAAATGTCAGTGAGAACCCAAGGTAGTGTGAAATTGAGACCTGGATTCAATAGAACCCGCTGAGGACTCAGTTGGTTATTTTTGCCAGATGCTTCTAAAAATTCTGTGATGCTAGAGCTAACCTCCCTCCTGCCTTTTCCTGCCTCTCCCTACCTCTCTTCCCTTTGATAGTCAATAATTGATCATTCTTCTTAGCCAATAGCACTGCTGGGTCTTTCCACATCTACAGTTCTCCCTTTCCAATGTTTCTCTGCACTTAATGTAGCCTGGACTGGGTCAGGGGAGGGGGGAGCATGAGTGATAGCTGCGGGTTTCTCTGCCTTGGGGCCCAGAGGGGCTGGCCTGGAAAGCCAAGCATATGGAGTGGATTAAGATTTTCCCCAAATTTTCTCTTAATTTCTCTCTGGTCTCACTCAAGCCTGATACCACAGACATCTGTGAAAATAAACACAGCCTAGATGCTTGCTTACCAGTATCTGTCTCTCTTTGTCTCTCTCATCTCCTCCAGACCCCACTGTGATGCTTCCTGACTAATGATGTTATATCAGTGCCTAGAAGCCTGAGGCTGCATTTCCAGCTGAACATACCTGAGTTGTCCCCACTACCATGGAGACTCAAAAGGATGAAGTTGCTCAGGCCAAGGGAGTGGCAGCCTCTGGGGATATCCAGAACCAAGGGGCAGATAAAGGAGCCAAGAACAAGGTACCTGAAGTGACAGATGGGCCAGTGTCAGAGTTCTCCTCATCAGGCCCAGGTAGGCTAAAGAAAACTGCCATGAAACTCTTTGGTGGCAAGAAGGGTATCTGCACTCTGCCTAGTTTCTTTGGAGGGGGACGAAGCAAAAGTTCTGGAAAAGGCAGCTCTAAGAAGGGTCTCAGCAAGAGCAAGACCCATGATGGCCTAAGTGAAGCATCCCATGGCCTTGAAGATGTTGACAGTGAAGGAATTGGCTTCTCCCTACCTTTGCCTGAATCACCTTCCCAATTTCCCAGCTCACTGAGTGCCCATGGGGCTTTAGAGACAGGCTCCAGGCAGAAGACCTCTGTGACTAGAACCATAGAGAAAGCTGAAGCTGAGAAGGTTCCCTCTGCATCCAAGACAAAAAAAGGCCTAAAAGGTTTTTTTAGTAGTCTCCGTCGTCACCGGAAAAACAAGGTCACTGGAACTGAGCAGAGTGATCCAAGGACCAAGGAGCCTGAGGAGACTAGAGTGAGACCTCATGAGCATGTAATTTCAGCCCTTCTATCCCACTCTGATGATATCTTCAAAGCCCCTATAAAGGAAAATGCCAAACCCCAAGATGTCCCTGAGCCAAAAGTTTCTCCAGTACCAGAGTCTTCTCCACTAGCTACTGAGAAGATAGCCTATAAAGATCCAGAAAAAACCACTGAGGCCTGTGCCTCAGTACTTGTGCAGCCCAAGCCTGTCCCTGAAGCCAGTAGACTAGAGGAGCCTCACAGCCCAGAAACAGGGGAGAAGGTAGTGGCAGGAGAAGTGAATCCACCCAATGGTCCCATAGGGGACCAACTGAGCCTCCTGTTTGGGGATGTCACATCCCTGAAAAGCTTTGACTCGCTGACAGGTTGTGGCGACATTATAGCAGAACAGGACATAGACAGTATGACAGACAGCATGGCCTCTGGGGGCCAAAGGGCCAACCGAGATGGTACTAAACGAAGTTCCTGCCTGGTGACCTACCAAGGAGGTGGGGAGGAAATGGCCTTACCAGATGATGATGACAATGAGCAAGATGAGGAAGAAGAGGAGGTGGAATTAGAACAGGAAGAAGAACTCAAGGAAGAGGAAGAAGATGATGACTTAGAATATTTGTGGGTAAGTGCCCACATGTATTTAAGACCCAATCTCAATCTGAGCTACCATCCTACCACATCCCTAGGCCACCAGGGCTACATGCTCCTTGACCCAGTACGGTCTTATCCTGGACAAGCCGCTGGGGAAATTTTGACTCCTCAGAGTGACCAGCAAGAGTCTGCCCCCAACAGTGATGAAGGTTATTATGACTCGACCACACCTGGATTTGAAGATGATTCAGGTGAAGCTCTGGGTCTTGTCAATAGGGATTGCCTACCCCGAGATAGCTACAGTGGAGATGCTCTATATGAGTTCTATGAACCAGATGACAATCTTGAAAATTCTCCACCTGAAGATGACTGCCTTTATGACCTCCATGGTCACAGCTCTGAGATGTTTGACCCCTTCTTGAACTTTGAGCCCTTTTCTTCCTCCCGGCCACCTGGGGCAATGGAGACAGAAGAAGAACGGCTAGTAACCATTCAGAAACAGTTGTTGTATTGGGAGCTTCGGCGGGAGCAGCTTGAGGCCCAGGAGGCACGTACCCAAGAGACCCAAAGCAGGGAAGCCCACACCAAGGAAACCTATACCCAAGAAGCTCACACTAGGGAGAACTATGCCCGAGAGGCCCACACTTGGGAAGCTCATGCCAGAGAGGCCCAGACCCAAGAGGCTCGTGGTCAAGAGGCTCAAGACCAAGACACCCAGACCTGGAAGGAGAAGCCCATTTTAGAGTATCAGATGAGGCCATTAGGCCCATCAGTCATGGGTCTGGTAGCAGGGGCATCTCAGACTTCTCACAAGGGAACCAGCTCTGCTTTCCCTGCCACAGCAAGCAGTGAGCCAGACTGGAGGGATTTCCGTCCGCTGGAGAAACGTTTTGAGGGAACCTGCTCCAAGAAAGATCCAAGGACTTGCCTGATGCAGCTTTTCCAGAGTGATGCCATGTTTGAGCCAGACCTGCAAGAAGCAAATTTTGGAGGCTCTCCCAGGAGGGCTTACCCTACTTACTCACCCCCTGAGGAGCCAGAAGAAGAGGAGGTTGAAAAAGAAGGGAATGCCACTGTGAGTTTCTCACAGGCCCTGGTAGAGTTCACCAGCAATGGGAACCTCTTCTCTAGTATGTCCTGCAGCTCTGATTCTGACTCATCCTTTACTCAAAACCTCCCAGAACTGCCCCCCATGGTGACTTTTGACATCGCAGATGTGGAACGGGATGGGGAAGGCAAGTGTGAAGAAAATCCTGAGTTCCACAATGATGAAGACCTTGCAGCCTCCTTGGAAGCTTTTGAGCTAGGATACTATCATAAACATGCCTTCAACAACTACCACAGCCGATTCTACCAAGGTCTGCCATGGGGTGTGAGCAGCCTTCCTCGATACTTGGGACTACCTGGCATGCACCCTCGTCCTCCACCTGCTGCCATGGCCCTCAATAGGAGAAGCCGCTCACTCGACACTGCAGAGACTCTGGAGCAGGAGTTCTCCAGTTCTCACCTGGCTCAAGGATACCTGGAGTTAGATGAGCTTCAGGCCCAGCAGGAAGATTCAGATGAAGAGGAGGAAGAAGGGGAATGGGGTCGAGTCAGTCCCCTGTCCCTTTATACTGAGCCCCCAAGGGGCTATGACTGGCCTGCCTGGGCTCCCTGTCCTCTTCCAATGGGGCCAGTTCCTTCCTGGATAAGTCCTAGCCAGTTGGATAGGCCTTCAAGCCAGTCTCCATATGGGCAGACAACTTGTTGTGTACCTCCTGTGACCATGTCAGTGTCGCTGGCAGGGTCAGACTCTAGGGCACCTGGGGAATCTGGGCCTCATCTAGCTCGGCCTTCTCACCTACCCCTGCCCATGGGCCCTTTCGTTAACCTCCAGCCACAGGCCTCTCAGAGCATAAGGGCCAAGCCTCGAGATGTGCTGCTATCTATTGATGATCCCAGTTGCACCTCCAGTTCTGAAGGCCCTTTGCTCCAGGCAAAGCCTGTGGGCATCACCCATGGCATCCTTCAGCTGCCTAGGGTCCACCCTGAGCCCCTCCAGTCTCAGCCCACTCATTATGGGGCTTCCAGCCTTGACTTGTCAAAGGAGAGGGCTGAGCAAGGTGCCTTGCTCCCTACCAGCTACTCCTCCACTGCCATGAATGGAAACCTAGCCAAGTAGTCATCATCAATTCCAGTGTAGGGGTATGGAGACTGAGCATGTGAATGGGGATCAGGGGTTGGGCAGAGGGGTGGGGGTGGGGTTGCTGTTTAACTGAAAAATCCTTTTAGCTAAGGAAAACTCCTATGAGTTCTCTCACTTCCCTCTTCTGCCATCTGTGGCTACATTCAGCTCTAGTACATCTTATATATATATATATCTTTGAAACAGGCTGAACCCTTAGTGTCCCTTGCTCTCTCTCCTCCCAGTGAATGATGAACCACTAGTGAGCAACCAGGTCGGCACTGCCTCTGACTTGGGGACAGACTGGGAGGACATTGTTCACTGTTAGCAATGTGAAATTATTGTATAGATCCTCCCCACTCCCATTCCTTTCAGCCTTGGCATAGCTACCAACATTACATCAAATGACTATAAGCTATTCATCCCATCTAACTCCTTGGAGATCAAGTAGCATGTGTTCCACTGCCTATTGTGATAGAATATCATAACCAGGTGGGGGCCTTTTGACCTGGCCTGCCCTAGCTTGGATTGAAGACAAAGACACCAATTTCCTTAATGGAGTGATTAAATTCGTCCAATTGCAAACAGAAGACAAAACAAGGTTCTATTTGCCCTAGAGTCTTGAGCTCTGAAACTATAGGGTTTTTTTTCCCATTCTTCCTCTCAAGCCTGTGACTGCCTGAGTTGCTGATGCTTTTGAATTTTTGTTCTATTTTCCTCTAAAGCAAGCTTTCATAATCTCATTATAAGGAACACAGTCTCTTAATTGAGATATAAGGGAAAAGAAGCAACCTAAATTAGGCTTGGCTAAAGAGGTTGAGATTTTTGCAGGGTATAGGGAAAAGGAGGTCTGTTTGTCCCAACCAGAGAGGGGATTTCAAACTGCAGAGCTCAAGGCAACCCACCTTCTTAGAGAAGAAAACTGCTTCTCACCCAGCCTTCCCCCACAACATAAAACGTTCCTAATTAAGCCTTGCCTACTACTTCATTTGGACTCCAGACTTGCACTCTTGAGACAGAATACCAATGGCATCTCAGCTGCTGTTCTTGGCTTTTTAAAGTGTTTTCAAATTCTAGTTAGCCAAGTGTTCAGCATCATCAAAGGACCAGGCTTCTTGGGAGGAAAGACTGACTACCCTCACTCTGCCAAGCTGCAAGACTGGCATGGCAGTTGCAACCCTTTCTGGAATGAATGACACCCATCTCCTGCATCCATGAAGTTTTCATGTTAAGCTACGTTGGAAATACTGATGGGGAAGACCTTGCTTTCAGGCAGATGTTGCAACAGACTAATCTTGCCAGGCTCAGTCTCATTAATCATCCTTATAAGAAGGTTCCTTTTTAATTTCTTTATGGGAAATGGTATATGGAACAATTTTTGCCTGGATGTGTTGACCCAAATTATGATTCTTACCCCTCCTGCCCTGCCCCACCACTTTCCATCTCCATACCATTTCAGATAAGTTAACAGTGCTCTTGCCATTCCTGAAATAGGGCAGTTTAGCTTGGAGACAGATGCTGTTGGCCCCCTGAATCAAGGCAACAGTGTGGGCAAACTGTCTCTTGGGTAGAGGATATGTCCATGCTGGTGTTTGTCACCATTTCTCAGATTGGGGTTGGCCCAGTTCCCTTCCCCATGAAGACTAGATCTGGCTGGTAGAAGCTGCACCCCTAGAAATACCACATGAGTGCATGTCACCAACCCTTCAGGGCTTTAGATACATTGTAAAAAAAAATGCATCTCTTGTGGAGCTAGAGAATTAAAGACCCTCCTCACCCTAAGCACAGCATTCCAGGGGAGAGGTGCCCAAATTTTAACCATCTGGCCTCTTGCCAAAGCTGCTCTGGGAAAGTGGGGCTGAAAGTGGCCTGGCTGTTTGACAGGAAGTAAACACTTCACCAAATGCCTTTACAACTGTGGAAAACCCACCTCTTGCCTCTTTTCAGAGCAGCTTGAGCTCCTGTCTGCATGTGGACTGTGCCAGCCACATCAGGTAGTAGAGCAATCACCAGCCTCCTGAGCCCTCTGAAGAAAGGCCATCAATCTATCTTTGAATAGGAAAAGCAGGTGGTCAACCTATGTCCAAAAGCTGATAGCTACTCTCAGGGACAGGAGGGTAGCAAGAGGCACTGCTTCTGAGGGAGCTGTCATAGCCCTGACTCTGCTGGGCTTTGGAAGGTTCACACACCACAGAATAAAGCATGGATCTGAATAGGAGTTCATGGTCCAGGTGGCTTTGCTGCCTACAGTTCCTTTCACTATCTTGGCTAGCCCAAGAACAGGATCCTCACCACCAGAAGTGAGGCATCAGGATACATAGCTGAAAGAACAAGATCCTTTTAGTCTCTAGAGCTGAGCAACCTGTGACTGGACCACAAATGCACCCTAAAGGAGGAAAGAAGATTTGGCCTGGAGACATGTGATGGCAGCACAGGGTGACATTGGGACTTTGAACAAAGCTCCAGGCCTCTCCAAACACAGGTCAGTGCTTGCTTTGCTGGAACCAAATATGCCCGAACTACTAAAGATGTCAATGTCATGTCCATACCTAGCCTTTGACCAGATGAACACCATATCTCCATTGCAAGGTTTTGGGATTATGCTTTTGAATGTGACTTCAAGGGTTCATGTGACTTCAGAAGAGGTAGCTGCCCTCATCTTTTTACCCAGTGGACCTGTCTAGTGTCAGATGTCCCTGATCCTGAGAATTTCTAGATGACACTGGTCTTTGGGACCAGTGAATGTGGATAGAGAAGGTCACCTAGCTGGCCTCTCCCACAGCCAGGTTGCCATTTTCTTGGTCCTTTAGAGTCTCCAAGGAAGCCCTGCCTTGGGACCCAGTTATAGCCATTCCTGCCCATCTGGCCTCAGCTTGGGTACCAGGCCACAAGCCTCCTGGGATAAAGGCTTCAATAAACACCAGTCTCTCTCCCTTCTCAGTGTTGTGCCAAGGAAAGTAGTAGCTTCCTATACTCTGGAGTCTGGGCATGCGCCTCATCCTACTGTGTGTGGTTTTCCCACTTGTGCCAGTGCCACCAACACATCTGCTCTCATCCCCCAGGCCCAGTCACTAGGGAAGGCATAGGGGGTGAGCGAGACTTCAAGTTTACCCATGTGTATGTTGCATCTAAGTTTTATATATGTATATATCTAAAAATTCAACTATTTTTGTATTGTTTGCATTTTATATTCATGGAAAACAATGTTTATCAATAATTCTTTTCTGATATATTTTATTTTTAAGTTGTTCTGTTTACAGTTTTAAAACAAAGATGACACAAAAATCACTGCTGCTTGTGTAGAGGGCTGGCATCTCAAATGCCTAGAGCCCTCCTTTCCCCTCTCCTTGCACTGTCCATTCTATCTCCTGTGATAGGGACAGCAGAAGATATCCAGGTACTGAACACAAATGCCAGGTGACTCAGGCATATGGAACCTGGTAGACAGTGTGTTGCTTTACGGCTTTATATTTTT